GCCTCCAGCCCTCTGTGGTCCTCAGCAAAGTTCTCATCAACATGTACCATCTTGATGCCTTGGCTCTTTAATGAGCTAGTCCTTTCTATTTTCTTAATATTTATTTTTTTGTTGTAGTTGGACACAATACCTTTATTTATTTATTTGTATGTGGTGCTGAGAACCAAACCCAGGGCCTCATATGTTAGGCGAACACTTTACCGCTGAGCCACAACCCCAACCCCAGAGCTAGTCCTTTTTGTTTAAGAAATTGGGGCAGATTTTTTCCTACTATGTACATTGATCCTTCGCTAAGGGCCTCTTCCTTTTCAAGTAGGACCTTCAGTTCCAGGTTTTTTAACCCTAGATGCTTTGAATGAACATGTGACTTGTTTGGCTTTTGTTTATTTATTGATCCTTGTTGATCTTGCCCTAGCCTATTTCCACCAACTGAGAAGGGTTCATGCCCATAGCCCAATCCATTTTCTGTAACTTTTATCTAATGTCAGGGTTACTCTGCCCAATGAAAACCATATTGACTATCCATACATTTTCTGGGGCTTCTGGGTCTAAGCCAATATATTGCCTATATATAATATTCTTTTCAGCTATACTGGGGTCTTCATTTGCCCCCTGTTGTAATTGCAAAAATCTTACTTAAGGTTTTCAGCTCAGGTACCTCCCATATTATAACCCTCCTATGATTCTTTTGGCACCTCCAGGATACACTTAGAATAGTGTCCCATTTGATATCGGTCATTGTCATTTGGGTCCCACTTTGGTTCCACTAGTAGTATTGCAACTCTTGGATTCAGGGTACTTTGAGGGTCAGCCTGGTAAAAGACTTGTGATTTCTTATTAACCTTACTTATGATGAGGCTCCTCTTACCTGCAGTCAACATTATATCAAGCAAAACTTGTATATCAGCCCAAGTAGAGCCCTGGGTGGCAAAAATGATGGTAAAGACTTTCATCATGATGGGGGTGGGTAGAATTTTTCTAATTTAACAAGTAGGGGTAAAAAAATGGGACAGAAGTCTAAAAGTAGCCCACTGGTTAGCTGTTCTGCCAGACACTGTCTCAATGGGAATTGCTTTGCCCAGTTCACATGAATATCCTGATCAAATTGGCTGCCCTGATGGGCCCTAAAGTAAGAGATCATTTTAGACTCGTCAGCATCCATCAGTCTCTGTATTATCTTTTAGCAAAGGCTTTAGCTTTGATGTCAGGAACCTTAATACCATAAGTTTGCCCATCTCCCCCCCCCCTTTTTTTTTGTGGTGCTGGGGATTGAACCCAGGGCCTTGTGCATGCGAGGCAAGCACTCTATCAACTGAGCTATATCCCCAGCCTTGGTCTCCTTTTTAAAATAATCTGGATTACATAAAATCATAAAAGATTGGAAATACAGGATCCCTTTCCATTTTCTTGATCTTTGATGAAACAGTTCTAACTGTAAGTTAGTATAATAATTCAATGACCTGTTGGAGGGACATCTTTCTTTTGAGTGTAGTACATACATGGCCAGACTGTATCACAATAATAAATCATCATTTTCTTTGTTAGCTACAATTAGATCAATCATCTAAGATTTTCCTAGAAGAGTTACTGACAGGTACAAACTTAGTATTTCCTATTGTTATACAAATTACATTGGCTCTTCTCTGTACCTTATGTCTCTTCTTAATATTTGGTACCGTGGTTCCTATATGATTTCAAATTTCCCTGTGAAAAAAACAAATAGCCTAAGCCTAGAATAACCCAAAAGAGCTCAAATGACAAGAAAGAGCATAATCCTATCAGGATTTACCAGGGATCTCAATCTTCAGGCCTGCAAATCCCATTTCTCTTCTTTACCAAAGAGTGTATAAAACAACTGATGCTGGCTCAAAGTTGAAAGATAGGAAAAAAAACCAAAATAAACGTAATTTCAGCAGCTGGATGGAACAGTTCAATTTTTCCTCTTTTGGAGTCAGCTGGCTGTGAGTGGCTAACACACATGGGCTGTGCTTCTCCTGGTATGACTTGGTTTGTTGCTGGAGTTTTAGGGCAAAGGCCGCAAGACCATGTGTTCCAATGGACTGGGCTCAGCCACCTGTCCCAAGATGGCAATCAGAAGCAGCGGTGAAGGTGGGAAAGGAGCTTTAGTGGTTGTTGGCTGCACTGGCAAGAACATATGAGACCTCAGTGACCTAAAATCCACCTTCAAGGAATTGACAAGAACTTTGAGATTTTATAGAAAAGTGAACAAAAGCAAGGATCAGGGCTTTGCAGAGTTGGGGGATTTCCATAGTTGATAAAGCAGGTAATCTTGGTCAGACTATGCTCTGGTTGATCTTTATCTCAGGATCAGTTGGAGTCTTTTTGGTGATAAGAAAGGTGCTGTTACTTGGGTGTAATTTCAGTTTTTGCCATTTACCCATCAGACCTATTGCTCCTGATCCAAGTTACTGCAGAAGAGACTAATTCTACAATTTGAAGGAGAGGTGGGAGTCAAAGACACAAGATGTAGTCTGGGAGACAAAGTAGAGTTAGTTGAGTCAGTGACAAGGCCATCCTTCATCACATTTTACCTTTAAAAAAGTTTGCTAGTGCATGCTAATCATGTCAAAACAAGAAAACCAGTGGACCTCAACAGTTATCTTTTGGGATAAAGTGGTATGTGCACTGTTTTGAAATTGAATTAAATGACAAAGCATTGTCTTTATTATGTAATGGTGCTAGAATTGTGCTGAAACAATACAGGCCATGTGAACAGATCAGGCAGTCACCACAGTGTTCTCAGCTTAGCGGAAAGTAATGGTCAGAAAAACAAGAAAATTGAAAAGCACACCATGTCATCATTGCAGAAATGTTTACATAATATAAAAAGTGAGGCCACAAGCAAAATAAGTCTCCAAGTAGCTCATTTTTAGCCAAGCAAAGAAAGCCATTTACCAATGATTACTGAATTAAATTGTATTTGATTGTTGCAGCATAAGAAATATCACTAGAAAAAGTTGTTCCACATGTCTTTAAGTAAGAATAGTTATCCGAAACTTGGAGAGCACAATATCAATTAAAGACAAGTCAAATGCATGAGGCACTGAGTTCAATCCTCAGCATAAGAGAGAGAGAGAGAGAGAGAGAGAGAGAGAGAGAGAGAAGGAAGGAAGGAAAGAAATCTTCAAAGAAGAGAAAATAGTAATTCATGTTTTAATCTACTAAGATATATAATGGTTAACAGAGGTAAAAATGTCTATGAGCAGAAAAAAGCTGAATTGAACAAATTTATAAAACTTGAGAACATACCGAGCATATGTGGTTATTGGTGGTATTAATCATTGTCAGAAACTTTTGTGGAAAATATTTGAATCTAACGTGTAAACTTTCAATATAAACCATGAACTTCACTTTTGTGGCTATGACCATTATTTTTTTGTGAATTTTTATCAGAAATAGAACTTGAATTCCTGACTTTCCTATACAACAGAGCAGCTAAATGACTTGGTAACAGTGAAGTTTTGCAGTTTTGAGACTTAGAGCTGAGACCGAAATTTTTTTGAACAAGAGCTATTTCCCTCAACCCCTGTTATTGAATATGAACAGCTTTGGAAATCAGCTTTTGCTAAAGACTTAATATTGTTTCTTCATTAATTCAACCCAAAGTTATAAGGCAAACACATATTTATATGACAAATTATACTGCAGTAAGGCCATTTTGACAACTGTTAAATGTCTGAATCACTGGTAATGTCAGATGGCTTTATATACTCCCCATGCTATGAAAAATTAAAACAAGGTCTAAGATCTCCATTCCTTCACAAAATGTGCATCAGATATATTTTCTGAGCTTAATCTACATTTCCAATAGTTCCATTCCCTACTCTATCTCCACTTATTATAGATTTGTACTTTTAAAAAATAATTATTTTATGTATTGAGTCTCTTGGGGAAAGAAGACAAACATATTTGCCATCTTGAACTACTAATAAGCATAAATCTGCATGGACTTTTTGATAATTTTGTTTTAGGAGAAAATTCAATTTTGCTACTAAGATTAAGCAACTATCCCTAAAATAGTCTTATTCATTCATTGTCTCAGGTGGTGACCTCAATGTTGAGGCTGCCCTCACATCAAGAAGTTCAGTGTGGTATTGAAGAGAGAGACAATTATAATGCAATGTCCTAAATATGGTAATGGAGATGTGTACCAATGCTATGGGAGTATAGAGGAGCGGTGGCCATTTTCACAGGGGAGTTAAATGAAGACTTCACTAAAAAGAAAGTATCTGAATGGGATCTTAGAAGTTAGAACCAAAAGTTCTCCAGGTTAGGAAATGAGGAAAGTACAGCACACGCACAGGCATGGAAGGGTGATAAGAAGTGCTTGCAGGTGGCTATACATATTAGGAGGAGTGCTGGGAGGTGAGGCGAGGATGTAAGTTATGGATAGATTATGAAGGACCCATTTAGTGTGCCCTGAAAATCTGGTTTGGGATGCAAATCCCAGAACAAGTTTAGAAGAGAGTTGGCTCAGAAATTCAGGTAATATCACTTCCTATCAAATCATTTACCTTTGGTGATAAATCAGCCTATGTAGTAAAAACATTTTCCATCTATTTGCTTATATTTCTTCTTTACTCAATATATTTATAATATAAGAACTAAATGGGCTGGGATTGTGGTTCAGTGGTAGAGTGCTCGCCTAGCATGGGCAGGACCCGGGTTCGATCCTCAGCACCACATAAAAATAAAGGCATTGTGTTGTGTCCATCTACACCTTAAAAATATTTTTTTTTAAAAAAAAGAACTAAATTATAACACCTAGCACTTGTGCAAATTGAATTGAGACCTTAACAGTATAGGATTTTAGAAGTGCTTTTTTGTTTGTTTGTGTTGTTTTGTTTTTTCTTTTTAAGAGGAAAGATTTATCTTAGGAAGTTTTGAAATGGTCTAACTAAAATTGTTTTTATAGATTGCCTATTCAGTTAGCAAGTATTTGCAATTTTCTGAAATCTTTAATTTTCTTTGTCTTTTAGTGGACAGAAGATTGTAGAAAATCAACTTATCCTCCTTCTGGACCAACGTGAGTAAACATATGGTCAGAACTCACTTTGACCTGTGTAGAGATTTTTTTTTAATGTTCTGTCATGAAAATAACAATAGTAAATAGAAACTAAAGTCATCTCTTCCCATCCTGAGACAGTTTGGTTTCCTTAGATGTGTATCTTATGCGTGTGACTAACATGTTAGACAAATAAGAAAACAATCCATGACTAAAATGTACACTTCTGACCTGTCAAAGTCATAGGAAAGGAAAGGATTTCCATTTTTCACCAGAGGTAGGGATCATCAAGCATTTTTCTCATCTGCGTCAAACGTAAGGCTTATATTCAAGCTGAACTGTGATTCTCCATTATACTTGGGTATAAGCCTCTAAATTATACTGGAACAGATAAGCCTGGGAGCTCATATGAACCATTTAAGAAACTACCCTTGGCTCCATAAAGCTGCCGAGGACAAAACAGAAAACCGAAGAGCCAATGCCGTGTTTTAGTGTGTCTGACATTATTTTTAGTCTGACATTATTTTTAGTCTTAATTTTGGTCTTTCCAAATGCTTAGGGGTGAAATGAGCCTGTGAGAAAAACATAATAGCTCAGAGGTCTAGAGGGTATAGAATGTAGGGAACAAAAAAAGGGGTGGGGAGGGTATAGGGAATGGTCATCTTTCCTCTTCTTCCTTCTCACTGAAAGTAGACAGTTGGGGGTTGGAGGGAAGCAGGGTATAACTAACCAGTAATATCAAGGTAGCATCTTCAGTTTTTGTAACATTCCAAATTATATTTGTTTAATTTTCTTTTTTAAATTATCTATTCTAAATAGCCTCTGTCCCAGTATCCTTGGGACACTGAAGGATCACCTTATATCCATTTGAATCCCATGGAGCATTTTCTTTCTACTACTCATTGAGTGCTTGGCATCCGCTCTTATTTGTACATATGTGTTGTGTCATTTGAACTGGTTTCCAAGTCACCTGGGGAGCCTTGTGAGTTCAAGTGATATGATTGATATTATGATGACCTGGACATAGCAAATGTTCCATCTCAAAAATGATTAAATTATATTTATTGTTTGTAGGAAAATTTATTATGGTGGTTACTACTAATTGAGTATAAGTTACCATTGATTGAGTGAAGCTATTAATAACAAAATCTTTTTTATATTACAGCATTATAATTATACACAGTATATGGGTTCATCTTGACAGTCGTATATTTAAGGAATTCGATTTCATTCCCCATCTCCCCCTTTTCTCTTTTCTGTTCCCCTCTTCTATTCTACTGCTCTTCCTTTCACTCCTTTATTTATTTTTTATTGGTACTTTCTATACATAAAGGTGAAATTCCCTTTGGTACATTTATATATGCATATAACACGATATTGTTAAATCATTCCACATTTCTTCCCCTTCCTTCCTCCCTTTGTTCCTTTCATTCTCCTCCTATTCCACTGATCTTCCCTATATGATATCTGATCTGCCTTCCCACCCCACCCCACACATACACTGCTTTCTTTTCCTTATTTTTTTTACACATGAGAGAAAACATTTGACCCTTGATTTTGTGAGTCTGGCTTACTTTGCTAAGTATGATCTTCTCCACTTCCACCTATTTATCAGGAAATGTCATTATTTTATTCTTCTAAATGGCTGAATAAAACCCCATTGTGTGTGTGTGTGTGTGTGTGTGTGTGTGTGTGTGTGTGTATCACATTTTCTTGATCTATTCATCTGGGTTTATTCCGTAATTTGGCTATTGTGAATTATGCTACTATTAACATTAAAGTGGCTATATGACTATAATATGCTGGTTTTTGTTCTTTTGGGTAAATACCAAGGAGTGGGATAGTTGAGTCATATGGTGATTTTATTCCTGCTGTTTTGAGGAGTCTCCACTCTGCTTTCCAGAGTGGTTGTACTACTGTGCAGTCCCAGCAACAATGTATCAGTGTACTTTTCCCCCACATTCTCTCCAGCATTTATTATTATTATTTGTGTTCTTGGAAGTTGCCATTCTGACTGGAGTGATATGAAATCTCAGTGTAATTTCGATTTTTATTTCCCTGATTGCTTGAGGAAATCATCCCACTTACTGTTTCTGGGTTTTATTTCTTTGAGCTCTAAGGGTCTAGTTGAGGAAATCAGTGCCTGTACTCATATTATGGAGCATTGACCCTATGTTTTCTTCTAGTAGTTGCAAGGTTTCTGGTTTAATTCCTAAGTCTTTGATTCATTTTGATTTGACTTGGGGACAGGTGAGAAGTAGGGATCTAATTTTCATTCTTCTACATATAGATATCCAGATTTCCCAGCCCCATTTGTTTTAAAGACTGTCTTTCCTCCACCATATATTTCTGACACCTTTGTCAAGTATCAGATGGCTGTAAGTATGTGGATTTATCTCTGTGTCTGCTGTACCATTGGTCTTTATGTCTCTTTTGATGCCTATACCATTCTGTTTTTCCAAAAAACAGTGTAATTTGAGATCAGGTATTGTGATGCCTCTGCATCACTTTTCTTGGAATTCTGGGTGTCTTACTCTTCCAGATGGATTTAAGGGCTGTTTTTCCAGTTCTGTGAAGAACATCATTGGTATTTTGAAGGAGATTATATTGAATCTGTATATTGCTTTTGGTAGTATGGTTATTTCTATCTTCTGAGGTCGTCTTCCATTTCTTTAGTGGTCTGTAGTTTTTACTGTAGAGAGCTTTCATCTCCTTGGTTAGTAATCCAAATTCTTTTGATTTACTTACCTTTATGTAACCAATTTGGATGTTATCCTTGAGCCAGTGCATATTCCAGCTTGCTCATTGATGGCCTGCACTCAGAAGATCATCCTTTCTGTCACCATTGGCACCATACTGGCTTTGATTGACTTGTTGATTGCTTTACTTGGCTTATCTCATGGCCCCAATTATTGAAAATTGAATACTGAACAATGAATGAATACCTTCCACATTTAAGTCCTTTTTTCCATTCCCTTTTTGTGTGTACTTCACATGTATTTGTGAATTTATTGTCCTGCAAACCATAAACCTTCCTTGATCAGGTACTTAACTGATTCCACATTGTCGTGTGTGTGTGTGTGTGTGTGTTTGTGTGTGTGTGTGTTTGTGTGTGTGTATGTATATGTATACACATACTAAACACATACACATTTGTACACCTACATAATATTTATGGATGTGTGTCTCCTTGCATTGTATTTCTTGCTGGATTTCTTCCTACCTCCCCAGCCTTGTTTTCAAAACCAAAATCCTCAGCTCTACTCTGATCCTTCTCTTTTCTGATCTAAGTATATCTTGAACTCTGGGGGAAATGTGAGGCATTCATATATCTTTAAATGATAAACTTCCTATTTCTGTGGGTTCATTCTTTTCAATCCATTGTATAGGTTTTGATGGCATGTATGGGCAGCTGTGAGGGAGGAAAGAGACACCTGCTCATCTAGCCTGACCAGTCATATCAATGCAGAGATCCAAGAATGACAGCCAGATCACCACTGTATCCATCTGAATCCCATTAAGCATTTTTTTTGTACTGCTCACTGGTGCTTAGCATCTGCTCCCTTATTTGTGTATATGTGCTGTGTCATTTGGACTAGTTTCCAAACCACCTGGGGATCCTTGTGGGTTCAGGCAATATGATTAAGGTTATGATGACTTCGACTAAGTCTCAAAAACAATTAAATGATGTTTATTGTTTGTAGTAACATAGGAGAATATACTACAGTGATTACTATTGATTGAGCACCAGTGTTGCTATGTGTTCTTTGCATATTTCATGTAATCATCTTTACCCTCATAAGGTAGATACTCTTTTATTTTTATAGGAAATTAAGAAGCAAATGCTAAATACTGAGATAATTTAGAAAAATATTTAATGAGAAGTAAAATGTGGGATGATGTTAAACTTAAGTTATTAAAATAATTTTAGTTAATCAGATTTACAGTTCTCTCAAAAAATTGTGATTAGTAGAGATTTTATTATAAAGGTTTCTGGGATCTCACCATCCCCACAAAAATCCCCTCCTATGATGAGCTCCTTCTTCCTCATTTTCTTTCTGAAATTCTTGAACCTATTCAGGACTCTAGTCTGAGAAAGAATCGGGTTTATGGTAAATATGGGGACATGATTTGGGCTTTGTTGGATGTTATGAGGGGGAAACGAGTTGATTGGGTTCATATGTGGAAAACATATCCTATGGCACTGCCACCAACATGGGCCACCAATGTATCATTGCTACTAGGCATGAAATCCAAATGCATGCTTGGGGGAAAGGGGAGGTTGGTAATATCTGCCCATAATAGAGGTAAGAGATTATTGAACTGTGGGACAGAATTTTACATATGAAATTATGGCCAATTAGAAAGGAATTTATTTGTTATAATGAAAGCCTTTTTCAAGGATTTGAGTATTATAGTATTTCACATAGATATCACCTCTTTAAGAAAATGGGAAACTTGAAAATTCTTTGAGAAGAACAAAATTTATTCATTGCTATTTTGTTTAAATGTATGTTTCCAAAATTGAATATGCTTTTCTTTCTTACCTAAGTCACAACATAAATGACTTCTGGTTAAGAGTTTCATAAAACTTTATACATATGCCAGAACCCTACATATGCAGCATTATTTAGAGCATGAAGTATTCATGATGGTACAGGTATACATGGAAGCACAGTAAATGACCTTTAGGAAATAACCCATCACCTGCTCTAGATGTTAGTCCAGAAAACATTTTAATTTAAGAACCTGATAACATTGCAGCATACACCAGAATACACCCTACCTTTCTCTGGAATAGAGCTTAAGGCTATACCTAAAATCCATTGATTGAATGATGGGTATCTTTAGGTATAGCCTTAAGCTGATAAATCACTGAATAGCACACCCTCAACAACTATTTCAGTTTGGTAAAAAGTGCCAGAAAATTATGTTTCTGTAACAGCAGAGGTAGGTATAGAATTCATCCACCAGAAATCCAGCCTAGCTCCATAAATAAGGGAGTGGACATTGCTATATCCTCATAATAGAAATTGCTGTATGTAATAAGTTTAAGAGTAGGATATTGGAGAATTGAATAGTGCTTGAACTTGCACTTGGTACAGAGGGGCGCCAACTGAGGAAGGTCAGTTTGGCTAGAAGAATTGTGAAGTTTCTTGAAGCCAATTATGGGAAACTAATTTTTGTTGCAGCTCTGGGGCTTCAGAGAGGACCTCGCTGAACCATCATTCAAGGTTCAGTGATTTGGCAATAGTGTCAGATAATTGGAGACGAGTGCAGGCCTAAACTAAATCTTTGCAGATATTTAGGAAGGAAAAAGGATAGGTATTTTCTGTCAGAAATATTTAGGTTATAGCTTTTGAGCTCCAATTAATTCTTTCACAAAGCTCTAAGTTACATTAAACTTCCAGAATGTATAATTCTACTTCGAGACTTCTGAGACTACTTAAAATTATGCAATAGAGGGCAGAAGCAATGGGTGGAAACTGCACTTTCTTTGAAAATTTTGAATTGAGTAGCTAACTTCTATACAGTTATTAAGAATATGTGTGTAGTATATCCTTGTAAATGTAGTTATCTAACCTCTTCAGAAACCACTGTCAACATTTCAAGATGGTACATCTCTTTTTACAGCTATAGAGGACCGGTTCCGTGGTACACTATAAATCTTGACTTACCACCCTACAAAAGATGGCATGAATTAATGACTGAAAAGGCATCAACGGTATGTTATGATTCTTAAATCTTCCTGATTTTACTGAATTTAACTGTTTTTATAAAAGAACACTTAATGAAATCACCTACCAAATAGTTTCAAAGTTTGCTTTTGATACTTGCAGAGAATATGCCATTCCTCTATAATTGCTTTTTTCCTTTGCATCATTTTTCTTCATAGTCTAAATAATTAAGAAGCAAATATCATTTTAAAAGATAAAATTGTGGGGGCTGGGGCTGTAGCTCAGTGGTAGAGTACTTGTGTCGCATGTGTAAGGCACTGGGATCCATCCTCAGCACCACATAAAAATAAATAAATAAATATATTGTGTCCATCTACAACTAAAAAGTATGTTTAAAAAAAGACAAAATATGTTAGTATACTGATTGAAAATATTTTCAAGTAACACTTTAATTTTGCTCTACGTGAGTAAGTCAAAAGTTCTGCGTTTGTTTTTGTTATACCAATATTAATCTAAATTCAGCACTTCTTTATTTTTTAAATATTTTCTTTTTCAGTTAAAGATTTTAGTGAATTCTATGAAGAATGTAGTAAATTCATTTGTGCCAAGTGGAAAAATTGTACAGTTGGTGGATCAAAAGCTGGTAAGAAACATTTCCCATGATGAATTTTAAGCACACACATATATACACAGAATCCAGAAAATGCTCAGGATTTATTTGAAGATATAAATCAACCACATCTTCTCAGGAATTTGGGACATATTCGCATTTATTGTAGATTCTGTCAAAACTTAAAAGAGATTTTAAATTCTGAGCATTGGTAATATTAGAGTAACAAGACACAAAGCATGGCAATTGGGCAGTTAACTGCTCTTTGTTTTTTAACAGTATGGACTATTTTATAGAGCAATGGGCAAATACATGGATTTCCTCTGGGATTGGGGAATTAATTTGTTGCCCTTATACTTAGGTTTGTAAGTTCACATTTCAAAGCTTGGTTTGTGCCAGAGGTGTAGCTCAGAGGTTGGATAGTCATGCTCAGTTTGTGTAAAGGCCTAGGTTTGATCCCCGGCAACAACAAAAGAAAGAAAATTCAATTTAGAAAAAGAAAATACTTTGCCTGAGTATATCAGGATACCTAGAGATTTCTTTTAGAAATGACCAAATGACCCCTTCAACCCAGCCCTGTCTCCTGTGGAGTCCCTCAGTAGCTGTGATCCTCGAAACTCAACTGGGTTGAGTGTTTCATGTGGTAATGCCATCACCAAACCGCTTCATTTCCTCCTGGTCATGCAGGAAGACCCCATTTCTTAGCCTCTTTATCATTTAGATGGAACCAGTAGAAGAATATCTAGGGCCCTCTAGAACCTCCAAAGATATCCTCATTGCCTTCTTTAGTCTTTTTCTTTTCAGGGGCGGGGTACCAGGGATTGAACTCAAGGACCTGAGCTACATCTCCAGCCCTATTTTGTATTTTATTTAGAGATAGGGTCTCACTGAGTTGCTTAGTGCCTCGCTTTTGCTGAGGCTAGCTTTGAACTCTTGATCCTCCTGCCTCAGCCTCCCCAGCTGCTGGGATTACAGGCATGTGTCACCATGCCTGGATAACCTCCTTTAGTCTTTACTGAAGGGTATGGAGGGCTGGAGGAGGATTTCCATACCCTTGGCAGATTTGGGGCACTAGTAATAATTTTTTGTTTTGGCTACATCCCTGGCTTCTACCTGTAAAATGCTGGTAATGCTCCCTCAGCTATGACACCAAAAGTGTCAGGAGACTTACCAAATTTCTCCTGCAGGGCAGAACTGTCCTGGTTGGAAATCACTGTCCTAGAGGCTGGCTGATCTGGGCACCTCCTCCATGGGACACTTGCACCTGCCAGTCACCAATCCTGTTATCTTGTATTCTTAACTTTTGGTTCAGGCTCTCCTTTATGTTCATGCTTACTTACTATACTTCTCCAAAATGAAAGTTGCCAAAAGCAAAGGAAGAATGCCCCCCCATACCCCATGTGCCCTAAGTTCCCCTCTACTCTGAATGTTGGGGGTGGGCAGCATTGCAGTGTTCTAGTACCATGCTTTAGATCAGACATTGGGTTTTAAGTCTGTATCAGTCATGTACCTATGAAACTTCTGTTTCCTTATTAGAATGATATTTACTAATAATACACATTTTATATGGTAGTTGTGAGGATTAAACGACATACTCTATGCAAAGCATTGTGCTTGGATGTAATAAATGTTTAATCAGTATTCTTGAAGTCACATTTGTGAAATTGGCCAGAACATTCCACTTATACAATGCTTTGAATTAATAGGGAAAAAAATAATATGCTTAGTTAAGACACATTACCTAGTTAGTTTAAAAAAATAATACTTTTGAATTTTAAGCATATTATCTTAGCAAAAGGCTGTGAACTTAAATTGTAATCTTGGTATTAGTAAGTAGTTGCAGTTGAGAATAAAAGTATGATGTGGGGCTGGGATGTGGCTCAAGTGGTAGTTTGCTCGCTTAGCATGCGTGAGGCACTGGGTTTGATTCTCAGCACCACATAAAAATAAAATAAAGATATTGTGTCCACCTAAAACTAAAAAAATAAATAAATATATTTTTAAAAAAGTATGATGTGTATACCACTGATTTTGCTCGAATCTGTTGTTCACTAACATCAAGTTAATGTTTCTTAACTCAAGATTAACCATCAAAGCTGGGTGTGGTGGCATAGGCTTATAATCCCAGAGGCTTGGGAGGCCAAGGCAGGAGTATCACCTGTTCAAAGCCAACCTCAGCAACTTAGCAAGACCCTGTCTCCAATATAATATTTTTAGAAAAAAGGCTGGGGATGTAGTTCAGTGGTTAAGTGCCTTGGGTTCAATCCCTGGTACCAATAAATAAATAAATAAAAACATAAAGTAAACAATTATAAATTACAATAAAAGTGTAATTTGTATAATTTTCTGACTTTGTTAATAGCTCTCTTCCCATAATGTTTTTTAATAATGTTTTATTTGTTTTAATTAGTTATACCAAGTACAACAAACAGGAATTGCCCAGTTTTGTATTTCTCATTAATTTTCCAGCTATAGTTAATTTTATTTTGTAATGTCAGCTTTAAGAAACTTAACTGAACTTAAGTAACAATTATGTTACATAATAAAACTATCAAATAATGCCAACATTAAAAAAAAAGATTATCCATCAACCATGATAAAGTGTTTTATAAATAAATAGAATAGTGCACATCTGTTGTTGTGGGAATGTGGTGTGTGCCAATGGCTAGAGGGTGAATTTGAGCAGAGATAAAAAGAGTGCTTGTTGAAATGTTTTTGGATTGTGGGTCATGTTGGTTCATCCACGTGGAATTTTTCCAGTTCCTTTGCTCTGGAAAATGGGGGAAGGATCAGGCAGAAAAAAACAACCTGAGAATCATGGGTCTCTGTTTAGAGGCCCAACATTTTCTGTTACATAAAAGTTTTTAGAATACATGATGGAAAAATGCCTAGCTGTGGATGTAGCTGGGTGATAGAGTACTCCTGTGTTCAATCCCCAGTACAGATAGAAAGGAAAAATAAAAAATCTTTAAGAAACTCATATCACTTCTTGTGGTGAGTATCTGGACAACAAAGTATATATCAAAGAACCAGATCTCAAAAATCTCAAAAGCATACTCTTAGGTAAAATGACTGTTAATGTATTTATTTTCAGCCTGGTCTCCTTGACAATCTTTCTGGTCCTTTTGAAGAGGAAATGAAGGGGATTGCAGATGTTACTGAAATACCTTTAGGTAAATTTTACTTTGCAATGTATAAAACATTTAATAAATAATATATTTCTACTTAGGTATGATATACATATAGTAAAATTCACAGGTCTTAAGTATACATCTCAATGGAGTTTTAAAAATGCATCCATGCAAAGTCACAAATCAGACCAAAAGACAGAAAATTACAGCACTCCAGAATGCTCCACCATGCCCCTTTGTAGAATATAACCTCCTCAGATGAGCATTCTTCTGACTTCACCATAGATTAGTTTTACCTTTTCTTGAACTTTTTAAAAATAGAACTGAACATTTGAACTATTGTATGTGGTTTCATGCACAGGTAGTGTGCTGCTATATGAGCAAAATATTGTGAATATTAATATTTTGAATACTACGAATAAAGCAAGTATGGACATTCTTGTGACTGTCTTTTAATGGACATAAGTACTCATTTCTTTTGGATATATACCTACGAAGTAAACTGTTAGGTTAAAGAATAGCTGTATAATTTTAGATTCTGCAAAACAGTGTTGTAATGTGATTGTATCGACTGACAGCGTAATATGAAAATTTTATTTTTTCCGCTTGATACAAGTCCACTTGATACTTCTCCACTTGGTAGTGTCATTTGTATTTGAGCTACTTCTTTGAAGGTCATGATAACCCATTTTAGTTTAAATGTGCATTTTCCCTGCTGACTGAGATTATTACTTTCAGTTTGTTGACCTTTTTCTTATGTCTTTGTTTTTTTATTTTTGGGAAAAGTAAAGTGTGTGTCAAGGTCTTTTCCCCATTTTTTTCCTTTTTTAAAAAATTTATTTATTTTAATCCCTTGTATTTGACAGCAGAATGCATTTCAATTCATAGTACACATATGGAGTACAATTTTTCATGTCTCTGTACACAAAGTAGAGTCACATCATTTGTGTCTTCATACATGTACTTGGGGTAATGATGTCCATCTCATTCCACTGCCTTTCCTACCCTCATGTCCCCTTCCTCTCTGTCCTCTTTTCCCTATCTAAAGTTCCTTCATTCCTTCCATGTTTCCCCATTCCTATTATGGATCAGCATCCTCATATCAAAGAAAACATTCAGCATTTGTTTTTTTGGGATTGGCCTACTTCACTTAGCATAATATTCTTCATCTCAATCTATTTATCTGCAAATGCCATGATTTTATTCTCTTTTAATGCTGAATAATATTCCATTGTATATATATACCACAGGTCCTTTATCCATTCATCTACTGAAGGGCATCGAGGTTGGTTCTACATTTTAGCTACTGTGAATTGTGCTGCTATAAATATTGATGCGGCTGCATGACTATAGTATGCTGTTTTTAAGTCCTTTGGGTATAAGCCAAGGAGTGGGATAGGTTGGTCAAATGGTGGTTCCATTCCAAGTTGTTTTCCAAGGAATCTCCATACTGCTTTCCATATTTGTAGCACCAGTTTGCAGACCCACCAGTAATATGTGAGGTGCCTTTCTCCCCACATCCTCACCAACATTTATTATTGTTTTTATTCTTAATAGCTGCCATTATGACTGAAGTGAGATGAAATCTTAGTTTTGATTTGCATTTCTCTAATTACTAGAGATGTTGAACATTTGTTCATATATTTGTTGATTGATTGTATATCCTTTCCTGAGAAGTGTCTGTTCAGTTCCTTGGCCCACTTATTGATTGGGTTATTTGATTTTTTGTGTTAAGAGTTTTATATTTTTTATATATCCTAGAGATTAGTGCTCTATCTAATGTGCAAATGGTAAAAATTAGGCTATGTATTCACCACACTGATTGTTTCTTTTGCTGAGAAAGAGCTTTTTAGTTTTAATCCATCCCATTTATTGATTCTTGATTTAATTTTTTGCACTACAAGAGTCTTATTAAGGAAGTCGGGGCCTAATCTGACATGAGGAGGATTTGGGCCTACTTTTTCTTCTATTAGGTGTAGAGTCTCTGGTTTAATTCCAATGACCTTGATCCACTTTGAGTTGAGTGCATGGTGAGAGATAGGGGCTTAATTTCATTTGGTTGCATATGAGTTTCCAGGTTTCCCATTTGTTGAAGAAGCTATCCTCAATATATGTTTTTGGCACCTTTGTCTAATATGAGATAACTGTCTGTATGTGGGCTTGTCTCTGTGTCCTCTATTCTGTATCATTGGTCTACAAGTCTATTTTGGTGGCAATACATGCAGTTTCTGTTACTATGCTCTGTAGTATAGTCTTAGTTTTGGTATAGTGATGCCATCTTCTTCAATCTTGGAATGGAAATAACAAATATTGGATTGGGGTGACAAACATATTACACTTAGTATCTTAGCATTGAGTAGAATAAAGAACATTAAATAGACAAAGTATATTGTACATCTTTGGTTTGAATGTTAAATGGCATACCATTTTGGAAAAATATTCAAAAATAAAATATTGTACGATGGACTTTCTCGGTAGCTCTGAACTCATTAATAGTTCTTGGCTGTCCTTTCTCACTGTAGAGATTTTAGTCACACTCTAAAAAATCTGAGCAAAATACATTTTCAGCATACAAACAAGAGCTAGATGAATCACATTATCATATTTGAGTTCCCCAAAGAAAATAAAAAATGATGCATGCCATATATTGTTTAAAATTTTGGACGTTATGATGTGACATAATTCTAGCATTCCTAGAACTTGAACTCATGAAATAGTTCCCTCTTTGAGGACTTGTTTTATTGTCATTTTAGAGAGTCCAGGTGGGGGAAGGCAGCAGCCCACCAGCCAGGTGTTCATGTACACAAGGATTAATTAGCCGTCAGCATTGAAATGCACCAAAGTGTGCCACGCATGCATGCGCGCGCGCATGCACACGCAGATAGCAGATAAACACACACACACACACACAGAGTGAAGATGGTAAAACTTTTCTTAAAATACATTTTTTGAGGCTGGGGGTATAGCTCAGTGGTAGAATGCAAGCTTATCATAAGCGAGTCCCTCAGTTATACTCCCAGAACCACAAAAAGCAAAACAAATTTTTCTTATGTTGTCATGGTTCTATGTATTAACAAAGTTTCTTCCTTTTTTTCCTCATAGGAGAAATTATTTCATTCAACATTTTTTATGAAATTTTTACCATTTGTACCTCAATAATAACTGAAGACAAAGAAGGTAAATATATGCTGAGAGAAGGTGGACAAAACAGAGTACCATGGAAATGAAAAATTAGAACTTTCTAAACCCAGGTTTGCTATATACATCCTGTGTATATTATATGCAGTGACTTTTCACAAGTGCACTGAAGACTAGCCTCCCTTTAAGACCACTATAATGCCTATTAAAGATTAATTCAGGTGTGCAAAAAACTTGAAAAAAGTGTTTCAGAACTAGAAACATTCTTCCTTTCCTCACAGACTACTTATGTCCTTCTAGACATATGTTATCTTCACACATGTAATGACATGTAGTTTTCTGGAGGCACAGGTAGACGTTGTTTCCATCCAAGGGACCCTATGTATAGCAGCCTCACTTTCTCATACTTTTCCTGGATGTTCCCCAGGGTACAAGAAACAAGATGACTTGCCCTGATTCACCCTCATTTTTGACCTACATTCTGGATATAAATCTGCCTACACCTAAACCCTTCAGGTGTCCAATGTAGGTGTTAGTCCCCGAAGGCAAGCACTGGGTAAATCACATTAGTTGAGATTAAGACATCTGTGTCCTGGTAATGGACCAAAGAATGACCATTGATCCTATTTTGTAAAGGTACTCTGATCTTACCTAGAACCCTGAGCTCTCAGATTTTATAGGAGTCCTTGCCAATGTGACAGTAACACTGGTTTGATCTTGTTAAGGCTGTCATGCTGTTTCTTAATTCTTATGGTTAGATAGAACAGTTGTGAATGTAATTTAACAAAATGAAGTGTTCAGCTGTGATTTATAATCAGTTGAACTTTGTTAACTGCTACTGTATGTCATTCTGCTTCCTTTTAAATAGGTCATCTACTCCATGGAAGAAACATGGATTTTGGAGTATTTCTCGGGTAAGCAAGGAATATCCTATGTATCATTTCTTAAGAGTAGATTGTATTACCTCTGATGAAAAGTTAAGTCCCAAATCATGCCAAAATGACCATAAGTGAAGATAACTGGATTCCTTAGTATCCAGACAAGATGGCACACTTATTCCATTTAGAGTTTGTATCTGAGAAGTTGCACATGGTGAGCTGAAACTTGGACCATACTTGAAGACCACAGATGCATGCCTCATTTATTGCTCAGGAGGAAGAGGTGCACTCTTCTGTATCTGTCCTCTTGACCTTTCTGAAAGGGTCAAGGTAATTTGATGCCTAACTTTGAATTTGGGGTTCACTTTGTACAATCTGTAATATTGGGAGAGTTATTCAACTTGTGAATAAAACCACCTATACTGTAAAGTTCTGTTAGTATTGCTCATTAGTGATTAGGGAGATAAAGTGCATTGTGTAATGCCTGGCTCTCATCATATTCAACATTATTATCTTCATTATTCTTAAATGTCACCAAAATTTGTCTTGTAGGTGGAATGTGAATAATAATACCTGGGTAGTAACTGAGGAACTGAAACCTTTAACAGTGAATTTGGACTTCCAGAGAAACAATAAAACCGTCTTCAAGGCTACAAGCTTTGCTGGCTACGTGGGCATGTTAACAGGATTCAAACCTGTAAGGAATCTATTGTTACGTAATTTTACAGGTAGCTTTTGTGTTCTGATTTTATGATCTGTGAAGGGTAGAGTCCAAGAAAACAAGCTCAACTTCATCCATTTGTACGTCTTGTCACTTTTATTGGTGTAAGATCAAGTGTCAGATAAGAAAATGGTTTCTGAGCGTGTCATAGATTAAAGAGCATGTGACCAGGTATCAGGGGCTGGGAGTCAAAATCTGTGATAGGGTCTGGGACTCTGCTACTTCATCGAGCTAGGCATAAATTCTTTCTGTCCAAAAAGTGTAGCCAACAATGTCCCACCTAACTTATCTCACATTCTAGGTGTGAAATGCTTCGAACTGAAAAAAAAAAAAAAGAAAAGAAAAGTAAAAGTCTTGCTAAGTTAAGGTGGAAATTATCATGATTTTGGTTTCTCTTAGGATTTCCCATTACTCAATCCAGGCACTTATATACCATTGTAATATATAGATAGGGTCTTAAAGAAGATGGTTGAAGTTTCTGACCATATCATTTTGTCTTTTTCTTAGGGGCTATTTAGTCTTACACTAAATGAACGTTTTAGTATGAATGGCGGTTATATTGGTAAGTAGAGTGTTCAGAGTGTAATGGGAATTTCTCAGCCATTTTAAGACAAATTATGGTCTGTGCCTTCTAGTTAAATACTCTTAACCCTCTTTCATGTCCTTTGACACTATGTATGTTTGATCTCTTCCAGGTATCCTAGAATGGATTTTGGGAAAGAAAGATTCCATGTGGATAGGGTTTATCACTAGATCAGTTCTGGAAAATTCTACAAGGTAAAGTGATTGGTTGCTTTATTACTGAATATTTAGCTAATTTTAAGTTATTCAGATTAAAATACAAAAACATTTCCTAAAATCTAGCATAGTATCCATTGAGAAAGTATTGCAGAATTTCTTTGGTGAGCCTTTGACACTTGAATTATTCATGTTTTCTTTGTGTTGTGTTTTATTTATAGCAAGGAATTGAGTTATTAAAAAGTATTAGGGATATGGACACTATGAAGGGCACCTATGAATTTTTTTTCTGGTACCAAAACAAAATCACCCTCCTACAAAAGAAAAATTGTACAATAAATTCTTCATTTAAATGGTAATACATATTAACCTAGAAGTTATTGTCTCCTGTGGTGGAGAAATTTTATAATAGCAGAACTGCCTTATCTTCAGCCCATATTGCAACCTAATGACTTAGAGTAAATGAGCATTGATCCTATTTTTAATAGTTTATAGGGAATGAGTTAGTAATCATTTTTGATACTTCACTCCAATTTTTAATAGTCCTAACTTTCAATGTTTCTTTTTATTCCCTATCTTGTATATTGTAATTATAACACTATTTCCCTGCCTTCTGATGCTGAATTAAAGGCAGAGATGGTAAGGCTGGAGGGTGATCTCTGGAGGCCATTTCATTTCTCCTGCAAATTAAAGGGACCTTTCAAACTTCCCAGTTCAGCATTTTACCATGTAGAGACATCGTTCCTTCCCAGAACCACTGCTTACTATCCTGTTTTTAAAAACATGTTTCTTCTACATTTGTTAGTTCCCTAAGTTTTCACAGAGCTCAAATATTTCCATTCAACTAAAGATGTTTCCTGATTTTAAAAAATGTTTCTATTTAGTTATGAAGAAGCCAAGAATATACTGTCCAAGACCAAGTTATTGGCCCCAGCGTACTTTATCCTGGGAGGTAACCAGTCTGGGGAGGGTTGTGTGATTACACGAGAAAGAAAAGACTCTTTGGATGTGTATGAGTAAGTACCTTTCTTAAAGCAAAATATGTAGAAACCAAAGCCTAAATTGACATATGTACAAGTTTAAGGCATGAAGCCTAAGAGGGGATCTCTCTTTTTGTTTCTAGACTTGATCCTAAGAATGGTAGATGGTATGTGGTACAGACGAATTATGACCGATGGAAAAGCCCCTTCTTCCTTGATGACCGAAGAACTCCTACGAAGATGTGTCTGAACCGCGCAACACAGGAGGTATGTTTGCATTGCCATGGATAGAAACTGTCTCCATTAAGGATTATCTTAGTCGTGGCATTTTTCTTTGGTCTTGTATTATTCAGTATCTCTGGATGGTCCCCACTCAATTTTTGTTTTGTTATTTTAACTTAAAAGAACAACATTTTGCTGTACTTTCTCTGTCTTACCCTAATGCTGGATACCATTCTGTAAAGTTAAATAAAAAACAGGGAAGAAAGAGGGAAAGAAAAGCAGTATATTATAGCTGTTACTTCTGTTTCTAGCAGTGACCCCCAAGGTAAGTCCCTTGAGGGAGGCTGAGTGAAGAATCACTTAGTTTCTATTGACCCCTTTGTGTGGATAGAATGCTGCTGATCAACACCTGTGTTTAACTTGCTGAACAAAAACTGTTCTTATGTCCTAGAACCTCTCCTTTTCGACCTTATATGATGTCCTGTCAACAAAGCCTATCCTCAACAAGGTATTTTAAAATATATACATATATAATTATTTCTAGGGAAAGAATATGGGCTTATACTTTATCTTCCCTTTATCTTGGATCACTTCAAGCCTAGAAGTTATGTTCGGCTTATGGCTGATTTTTAAAAGACATCATTTATATGGCTGTAGGCATAACTTTTGGAATATGCTAAAGAAGTTCATCATTGTGGCTTAGTATTCAAATTGGCCATGAGTACTGTTTCCAGCTTTATTTACCTGACATTTCAGTTAGGTCTGGCACATTTCAGTTATGTGCTAGACCTAACTGAAATGTCAGGAAAATAAATGACATTTTCCTGTCATAAGTCTCGTGGTAGACTCTACAACTAGCATCTAAAATTTGACAAATGTAAGTCTGAAGTCCATTTTCAGACTGAGCTGTGTGTCCTGGTGGAGTTTTGTTTCCCCTGAACTTTATCACATTACTTTCCCCCCACGCGTAAATGAAAAAAAAAAATAACAAGTTTGCTAGCCATCCAGTTTGCTAGAATCATTCCTTTTGTGTTCTATACATGACCATCGCACACGTTCTTTCTCAGGGAGGGAATGTAGCCCAGTGAGAGAGCACTTGCTAGAATGTGCAAGGCCCTGGGTCTGAACCCCCTAGTGCTGCAAAAACAAAAAAAAAAAGCAAAGAAAAAACAAAAGTAACAAAAATACATGATCCTTTTGTTCTTTCTCCTATTTCACTGGTCCTTTGCCCATCTCTTCCTAAAATAAACATGCCTCCATTACCTCTGCCCAAACAAATGCCTTGTATCCTTCAGCATCTGGCTTAAAACCTGGCTCCTGCAGGAAGCCTTCCTTGAGCTCCCTGAGCCTGCTGTGCTTCTCATTTTGCCTGCATCAGATTCACGTGAGCTCACAGTGTGGCTTACCTGAGACACGCGGCCTGCTGTGTGGGCCTGGGCGTATGTTTGGTACTTTGAATATGTGCCTGTACTTTCCCCATTGTATTTGAAATGCTTTGAAGATAAGGATAGCCAAAGTTAAACTGCTGATACTCTGCAGTGTATTTCCAGGGTTTGTATGCCTGCCACTTATACATAGAGGAAGGCCAAGTGAATCTGGAGCTTTGGTACCAAAGCAGTGTACTGCTTAGGAATAAGATCTTGTAAAGAACTGGAGATTCTCCCAAGCCTGCTAATTAATATTCATGACCTGGAATAATGGTTCTATTGATGTTGGTTGCTTGCTTTAATTATTTAATTAGGATATAATATTAACATGCTATATTACTGTGTAATAACATAATTATATGTTAATTGCTTTATAAAGTTATTTAATATCAAACAAATTCCTTAGGGACAGAAATGCTAACATGTCAGAACAATTTTGAATTGAAAATATCCTTAATGTAAAATAACTTTTCTTTCAGCTGACAGTATACACAACTTTGATTGATGTTACCAAAGGTCATTATGAAACTTACCTTCGGGATTGCCCAGACCCCTGTATAGGCTGGTGAGCACACATCTGGGCCACAGAATTTGCTTTCCAAGATATGAAGATGCAGTGTCCAAACAGCTGACCACTGCAGCCATGTTGTCTCCTTTCAAAGACTAAGATTGAAAGCAGGTTCTCTTTGAGTCATGAGCTTATCCTTCTCAGTATGTTTATGATTAACAGAATATTTTTGCCATAATCATTGATTCTTCTTGTTTTCGGGTAAATTCAAGTGAAGTAAAACAGCTAGAATTTGCCCAGTTTCATTTCACTTGGACATTTGGGGATGGGGATAAGCAATTAAACCATTGTAGGACCCAGCTCCATGGAATAAATCAAGATTCTCTGTGGGCATTTAATCCCAAATTCTTGTGTGCATATGAATAATGTAAAAGTAAACACTTCACATTATTCAGTTTTTCACTTTTATCTACATATTTGTATATTTTTCTGTGTAGCAGTATTTTCCTCTGGTTCTAACAACTACTATTAAAATCAATTGCCTTTGCTGTTTGTGACAGCAATTTCACTACATTTGATTGGGAGGATGAGACAAACATTCAGTATTTCTTTTAATGAGCAATAAGTGACCTTTGACTCTGAAAATAGTACTTTTTGGGGTTCCTGAAGTAATCAGTTTGCAAGGCAGTCTTTTATATAAAGAAGTGTTCCTTTTTCATAATCACACTACCTCCTAGTAACCCCAGGAAGTTGCTAACTTCAAAAACTGAGTCCCAGATTCTGTGAATTCATAAACATGTCAAAGACTTGAAAATAAGAAACAAATTCATTATTTTAAATTCTCATATCATTCATTTAATAAACAAGTTTTTTGTTTGTTCTTCTGATCAATGTGTTTTTTTAAGTTTTAGTAAAGTTATTAAAATATTTTCAAAAGTTAATGTTTGTGAAAAGAGCTAATAAAAATTGTTAATCTTCCTAACTTTCACAATTAACTGTGAAATATATGCCATTTGTGCAAAACTGTGTCCACTTCACTTTTTTATAATCTCAGTTGCATCATGATGCTCAGTATACAGTCACTGGAAGTAGTGTCAGCAGTCATGCATGCAGACTGGGTGTACACGTACATGTTGGTTTGGGGTGGGGGGTCATCTGACTTAAATAACAAGGGTTATGTAAGTGGGTTATTAAACATATGACTAAATGATCACAATCTTACATGATTAATACTTACCTCCGCCTAACTCCACAATATCAACCCAGCGTGCAGGTGTCCAGAGGCAGCTCTTCCCCCAGACAGCAGGTGCTTCCACAAAACAATAGCAGTTCCAGGATTATTTAGAAAATCAAGAGGAAGTACAAGAGGATTTGTGTTAAACTAGGATTCTATTAATGGAAAGGAAAAAAAAAATTTGCTTCAAATGTTGATCCTCTTTTAAGAATGAAGTGAGGGAAACTTGATGTCTGTTTTTAATGTAGTAGCCTTTGATATGCAATTTAAACCAATCACTTCAGACTGATTCTTTGGGAATAAGTCCAAGAGTTTAGATGAAATACCTGGCATTAAAAATTTTAGTAGTATTGTTCAGTGGTACAGTGTTTTCAAAATACTCTCTACACTATAAGCCTGTCTATGTTATGCTTTCTATAGGTACTTATGCATGACTAACTACACATGTGGAGTACAAAAGGATACCTGGGAGGATGTTTACCAAAATGGTCACCACAGTTTCCCCTGAACAGTAGTCAGTGCAATTTTAATTTTCAGAGGACAGAACTTAGTAGCCATGGACATTAAGCATATGCATTAGAAAAACTGGATAAAATTAAGGTTCAGGTTGGAGCCAAACCTAGAATTTACCAGCCTAGTTTTAGGAGTATGATTTAAAACAGGGGTGACTCATACTGCATTCCTTCATACATGTAGCTCCAGGATAACTCGCCTTACTAATAGCTACTACTTTCCCAGAACTGTGTGTGTACCAGGGCTTCTCCTAGGGACAGCTTTACATGAGCTTTAGCTTCTTTAGTTTTCTCAACAAACCCCCAAAGTATTTGAAGTCCGACTTGCTAGTGATGAAGTGAAATGAGTTGCTCAAAGCTGCATTAATATCAGGGTGAGGGCTAGAACTGAGCCAGGTCTGTCCAGCTCTTGGCTGTTACATTGACACTCTCATGCAGAACCTGATCACAAGTAGTTGTGCTGTGGGAGACCCCCACTGGAGTGGAGTGCCCCAAGCCATGGTGCTGAGTGTGCATCACTTGGGTTCTCTTCAAAACTATTCCATAGGGATTAGAAACCTTTGGGGCTAAGAATTGGTTCCAGTGTATCCATATAACAGGTTATTTGTTTTTTCACTACCCCAAGTCTAAATTGTGTTCAGCTTGTGGGAAGTCAAAGAACCTCACCTTTTTGTGGTTATGAGCCAACACTACATTAAAAAGAGCAGTTCTGGGCTGGGGTTGTGGCTCAGTGGTAAAGGGCACGCCTTGCATGTGTGAGGCACTAGGTTCGATCCTCAGCACCACGTTAAAAAATATGTATATAAAGATATTGTGTCCATCTACAAAAAAAAAATATTTTTTAAAAAAGGGCAGTTCTGAATTTTTTTAATTGCTGAATGGAAAAGCTCAGATGGTTACTGAAGTTAGTCCTCCAGAGTGTGAGGGATAAATTTTGTTAATTGGTGTAAATTTACAAAATATTTGCCAGCTTAGCATTATGTGTCAGATGTGGCCAGCAGGCCCTGGACTACTACATACTGGGCACTGGTACTGTCAACAGGCCTACGGAGGTGTAGCTGTTAAGTTCAGCTACATTAACCCAACAGGACTAGTGGCTGCAACTTCTGGAGAGTTGTTAGCCCACATGAAATCAGCTCTTTGGCCTAAGGGACTCCCTCCCTCTTATATTGGGAAAGCAGTTTCCTACCCAGGTGCCACAGGGGAGATCGCTGTGTGTTGAGCAATTTTCCATGGCATTTCTGCCTATCTTGTGGCAGCTTTTATCCCAGACTATCTTTTCAAGATGTTTGTCTAGGCAGAGAACAGATTGGTTTTCTTACTAGGATAGTTAAGACCATTGTCTTCCTGCAGGGCATAGGTGGGACAGGCCAGCTAGTAGAGCAGCTCCTCTTATATTTCGGGAGTTTTCTTAGCTATGGCGTAGATCATCCAATGTGCAACATCCACTTTTCCTGTTCTTCCGTGTTACCTCCTTGGGGGACTTGCAGGGCGAGTGGAGCTGATATGATCTCAAGCCCATGCTGCCTGGTGTTCCCATAGTAGTAAAGTCCCAGGAGCCTGCCAGCATCCATGAAGCTGTGGCAGGCCAGCTGGTTAGTTTACAACCAGGGTAAGATCTCAGATCCTCCATTCTTAGTAGTGCTGCCCTATTGAGCTACCAATGTGTCCTATGATACCTTCATCCAGAGTCTTTCCATGGCATCTATCTCCTCCAGAGCTCCTCAGTGTAGAGGCACAAGCATAGTGGGATAGACTGCATCTCTCTGGGGTATCACCAGACTGGAGAAGGGGGGAAGGCATGAAGCTAGTTGGTGCAGATCACCAGCCTTGCAGACCAGGAGCAGCCTGGGCCACCTGGGTTTTACCTATTTCAAATCCCCATAAAGATATCTAGCCACTTAGACCCCATTTTTTTCCACCAGGACCCAAACCTGTCTTGGTGTCCCTGGTCTTCACTGATAGCAATAACATCCAGATACTGCTGCTCTGCTAGAAAGGCTGAGTGAGACCAATGTCTGGTACGTAGCACCCGGCTTTCTGCAGATCTCATTGTCTAATGGACATGAGGCCCATGCTCTGGCTGGAGAAGTTCATGTTCCAGGGACCTGGAGCCCAGCACACAGCACCATGCAGATGCTGGGGAGGCACAGAGGCAGTGTGGGTTCCTGGTGGATTCAGCTCCAGGCAGCACTCTGGACCTTTGTGGTTGACAGGCCAATTTGAGGCACCTAAGCTGGCAGCCGTGACTGTCCTAATGTGCTTTTTGCAAAGTACAATGTGATTATTTTGGGATATTTATAAGAATATTTGGGGTGGGTTTTTAATATTACATTTATCAGTGAAAGAATAAAAAGAGCTATTAGTCTTTAAATATAAATTCTACTTCTATAAATTCCATCACCCAATTATGCATACAAAATTGATCCTGAATGATTTTTAAAAATTTCATGAGATCATCATAAAGTTTTGGTCAAGAATTTGCAGCAATTTCAAATATAAAATAGGCTATTAAAATGTGTTCAAAGTTAGGCCAAATGTTTTCTCTGATTAGTGGATGCTGATCTATGATGGGGGGGTGCATGGGGAGAATGGAGGAACTTTGGATTGGGCAAAGGGGAGGGTGGGAAGGAGTTATGAAAATAGGAAAGATGGTGGAATGAAATGGACATCGTTACCCTAGGTACATGTATGATTGCACAAATAGTGCATCTCTATACCATGTACAACCAGAGAATTGAAATGTTGCACTCTGTGTACGATGAATATAAATGCATTCTGCTGTCATGTACAACTAAGTAGAACAAATAAAAAAATTAAAAAATAGTTTAAAAGACAAATGACTTGGGCTGGGGTTGTGGCTCAGTGGTAGAGAGATTGTCTAGCATGTGTAAGGCACTGGGTTTGATCCTCAGCACCATGTAAACCTAGATAAATAAAACAAAGGTATTGTGTCCATCTAAAAAAAAAATTGTTCAAAGTTCTGTACTTTTAGATCAAAAGAGTAGAGTAGGTGGATGGTAAGAGGGGAGGGGAGGTCCTGGGGAATGAGATTGATCAAATTATATATGTGTATGAATGTGGCATAATGAATCCCACTATTATAATGCACCAATTGAAATATTTTTAAAAGTTCTGTACCCTTAAATATCTGATATGGGATACGTATATTCCCTCTATTTTTGTTTATAATTTATAATTTCATAATTATTTATTATAAAGGAATGTAATGAGGTGTCCATCAAGACCCATGTCCCCTCCAGTTTACCTCAGCATGTCTGATGAACACTGTTCTTTTCTATGTGTGCCTGCTTCTAGCTTTAGGGATCTAGATTCAAACTCCACCTCATCTCAAGTTTGTAGGCAGTTCAGTAGCAGTCAACACCCAGGTGTGGTTGGACGTGCCAGAACTGTCGTAGTGTTTTATCATTCGCACAGTTGCATGGGTAAATCTGATCAAAATTTCCATTGCTAGTACTTAACATGGATATCACTCTACTTGGCAGAAGGCAAATGCATTGCTAGAGCAGTCATAAGGAGCTAATTTGGATGCTTCCAAAAATTCCTGTTGACTGAAAATGATGTTATTTTTATATATGTATAATATACATAAAATTTGTTTACATATATAATGTATACACACACATAGATGTTAAAAACATGGAGTACCCGATTTGAGTGTCAACCCTATTTGAATCCCAGGAAAGCAATGATAGTTTCCGGTTGTGCTGTACAGTAGTCCAGTGGGCTAAATAATTCCAAATCTTCCCACGTGAAAAAATAATGAGACAGCGTTGGTAGCACTATTTCAAAATATAGTGATGAGAGATAGGAGTCAATCGCAAGGCCATGCTTGCCCCAGGTGTGAAGGTGAGTGAAATCTCATTGTGTCAGAGGGCAATGACCAGGAAAGATAACCTGGCACCAATAACAACTTCTGTTTTTCACATGTGTCCTCAGGTACAATGGACCTTATTGCTGAATGGAATAAGGCTTTTCATCTTACTTACTGAGAAAAAGTATAAACTTGCAAGCCTCACTCATTGATTGGCTCTGTCATTGGAGAATTAAGTTTATTGCATATTAAAAATAGAAAATCAATTTCAGTATTATATTTGTTTCTGGATGTTAATTGGCAGTT